CCTAGTAGGTTCTGAGTTTTCAGGGAGTGACCACAAAACAGTGCTGTGTGCACTGCCACTTCCGTCAAGTAGCAATGCAACCCATACCCCCACTTCACAACAAATAACTTACAGGAACTACAGTAAGGCAGACTGGACTCTAGTAAAATCAATGCTAAGATCCTCAGAATGGAGTGAGTACTTCTATACTGATAGCCTCTCGAAAGCTCTAGACATCTTTTACTATAACTCCAACACATGCTTAGATGCTGTCATCCCATTTCAAACACTAAAGTTTTCCCCACATAGAAAGACATTCATAAAGCCAAAGGATCGTAGGAAACTGAAAAGACTGTCAACAAGTTACTTCAGGCGACACGACTTTAGTACACTAGGGTCAATACTTAGTACTCTTGGCTCCATCTCGCAAGCTCATAACTTGCGTATGAGAAATGAAGAATGCACGGCACTAGCCAGCACCACCAGAGTAGGTGCTCTCACAGAAATACTAAAGAAACGAATGAATCGCCAAAGCCATAAAATTTCTCTCCTTATAAACAAGGGCAAACTATACAGCAAACATGCAGACATGTGTGAACTGTTTAATGAGACGTTTGCAGCTAACTACCTTAAGCCTACAAGTCCACTTCTCGGTTTACAATCTAAAGTAGAACTCCCTTCATCTTCAACGCTGAAACAAATCACTACAGTTCATTTCACTTACTCTAATATTAACCAAGCCGTTAATACTCTTAAAAACTCTAGTAGTGCCGGTTTTGACGGTATACCATCGTATCTTTATAAACACGGTGGTTCTGACATTTCCGTTTTATTACTTAAGATTTTTACAATGTCCCTAGAAAGCCAAACCTATCCAGATAAATGGAAAACGACATTTATAGTACCTAAACACAAATCCGGATCAAAAACTGAAGTCAACAACTATAGGCCAATCAATATTACACCCATAGTATCTAGAATCATTGAACGAATAGTTAAAGATGATATCCTCAAACATATGCTCAGCTGCAATATTCTAAGTCCCAACCAACATGGATTCCTAAAATCCAGATCATGCATGACATGTCACGTTGACTTCTTTAACTACATAACTAGCAGCCGCGACAAACAACAACTAGTACTTGTTATCTACTTCGACATATCCAAAGCCTTTGACCGCGTTGACCACTTGCTTCTAATAAATAAGCTAAACTCCTTAGGAATAAGTAACCCATTATTAGGATGGATTGAATCATTCCTTAACAATAGGTCCCAAGTAGTTAGACTGGGTTCTGTAAACTCTAAACCTAGTCCAGTCACTTCTGGAGTAGTTCAAGGTAGCGTCTTAGGCCCCCTCCTATTCACTCTATATGTCAACGACATATGCAGCTGTTTCTCACTAGGCAAACCATTCATCTTTGCAGATGATCTTAAAGTAGCTTACACATTCCACTGTGATGACTTAGGGTACTTTCAGAAAGCTGTTCAGGAAGAACTAGATCGAGTAACTGCATGGTCCTCCACATGGAACCTAAAATTCAACCTTAAAAAATGTGGTTGGATATGCTTCGGTGCACCCTCAATAAATATTAAACTGGTACTTGAATCCATCGACTTGCCTAAACTCCAAAGTGTTGTTGACCTAGGACTCAGGTACTCTAGTGACTTGACATTTTCCGAGCAAGTGGCGACACAGACGCGTAAATCGAGGATGCTTCTAGGATGCATACTCAGGAATTTCCACAACTACGAAGCGAAGCTATTATTATATAAAACTTGTGTCAGACCACTACTTGAATATTGTCCATTTATTCTCAGCAGCACTCGCGTAAGTGACAAACTTAAAATAGAAAGTGTCCAACGATACTTCACGTCTAAACTACTAGGATTTGACTGCGAAAAGGACTACACATCAAGGTGTATAACTCTAGGTATCGACCCACTCTGGATGAGACGACTGAGCATTAACCTAACATTCTTCTTTAAAATATTGCATAAAATATCATTCTCAGACAGCAAAGAGATACAGTTCTCACCGGAAGGCTCTTACAACCTTCGTAACCAAACGTGCAAGGTATCTAGGAAAAGCTGTAAAACAGCACTCCGTGCAAACTTCTTCATAGTCATGTACTCTAAGATCTGGAACAGTTTACCCCTAGAAATAAGGACCTGTCACTCTATCATAACCTTCAAACGCTTGCTATATAAACTGCTTCATCCCAATGACTATGCCAATCACACCGCACCACTTACTTCCAAAACGCATGAGCTATTAGCACACTATAACGCCTAGACTCATTACTAAATATTACGACACTAAATAAACTCTAAGACTTCGCAAAATTACATAAAAAACAACAAGATTATGGGTAGTGTTTACTATACAATGATATACATTTATAAACATTTATATGTACATAAAATAATAAAGTTCTTTTCATATTTACATACTTTATCTCCCTGCTGAGCGTAAACTTCTATATACCTCCTGGTTGAGGTCGAACAACCCAACATCCAAACTGAAATGACCATTTATGTAAATTCAAACTCAAATTCCATGAACGATCCGATGCAACCACTTGAAAACGCTGGCTAACATTCTGTACAAGGAGTATTCTTGATCTGAAATAAAGAAGCAACTGGTTTTCAAACAGTTATCAATGTATTACTCAACTTACATGTACAGTCTGCCATGCTGACGCTAATGGCGCAAATGGATAGTTCTAGAATTGACCCCATTTGATGCAGTAAAACAATCTAACATTGACTTATCTAACTTTCGTATCAAAGATCAAATTTCTTTCCTATTATAAAACTACGATAAGACTGCTGACAAAAATGGAATAAATACAATATTGAATCAAAATAATACATCAATAAACTTTATCTCACGGATGCTGTTCACAACAAAGTTTTATAGGAGAATTGACTTCAAGCTTTATTTTTCCCAGATATTTGTATCACACTCATCTGAAGTCTGGGTTTTTTGTTAATGCGAAGACAATATTTCTATATCTCTTTATGTGTTACACAGACAGACTATTTTGCAGACTGTTCTGACTGACTCTAATGTTAGTTTGAACAAACAAACTGTAATTTATATAATAACTTATCCATGCCTGTACAATTGGTATGTTCCTGCATAAACAGGAATAAATATATATATATAGGAGAAGCATCTGTAATGAGAAAAGACTTATCAATCGATGCGAAAGTTCTTAAGAAAGCTTGTCTATTATTAAACTCCAAAGTTTTACGCAAGATATCCTCATGTTGTTGTTTCCATTTAAATTGTGTACTGGAGACAATATCGAAAGGCGGCGATAACAGTTGAGTGAAATTAAGAATGAATCTGGAGTAAAACTGAAGAGTACTAATTCAAGACCTCAATATAATATTATTAGGTGGAAGTGCTTGAATTAGAGGTGCCAAACGACTAGCACCAGTTCTGAAACCCTCGGAGTCTACTGTGTATCCTAAGCATGATTCGGACGACAAAGTAAAATGACATTTAGGTGGATTAACAGGGGTATTTTTCTCACAGAAACGCCTGAACTGTTTTAAAAGACGTTCATTATGCAATTCGGTGTTCGGGCCATGAACTATAATGTCGTCGTGGTAAGACTCAACACCATCTAATCCAGCATCAAAAATAAGATCCGGATTTTCAACTCCAGTGTGAAGTCAGTGCTGCTATACGGATCGGAGACTTGGCGCGTCATAAAGAGCATCTCAAACAAACTACAAACCTTCATTAATAGTTGTCTTCGCTCAATACTCAAGATCAGATGGCCGGCCAGGAAAGATCAGCAACAGAGATCTCTGGCAATGAGCGAACCAACACAGCAGGAACCGATTGTGAAACAAATAAGCAGGAAGAAAGGGAGATGGATTGGCCATACTCTGAGGAAACCATCAGGTGACATCACTAGACAAGCCATTGCTCGAGTGGAACCCGAAAGGGAAGTGGCGAGTTGGTGGTCAGTGCAAGGGTGACTTGTAGGAGGTCATGTGAAGAGGAGATGAAAGCATGTGGGCAGACTTGGAGTCAGGTGAAGACTCAAGCAGAGAACCGAACTCAATGGAGACGCATGGCTGAAGCCCTATGTTCCTCTAGGAATTAAAGGAAACAATAATAATATAATAATTTGTAATTCATATAATAAATATATTGACAAGCAACAGTAAGTATTTCAACAATACAGTGATACAAATTGTCAATCACCACATAATCTTTGTTCTTATCACACGTGTATATAAATGACTCCTTTCTTCACAGTAAAAATACAATTGTACAGCTTGAAAATCAAATCATTCAAAGGAAATATCTATTCGCTGAAGAAAACCACGTTTCTGATAGGCAATGAACAAATGAATATACTGTGTGATTTAAAGAGCAACAATAATTCCCCACATATTATGCGTATGTAACTGCAGAATTTGAGACGGAAGTTATCTAAAAGTGTATTCTTCGTGCACTCACCAGTTTTTAGAAATATGTAAAGAGCATCCTTTATTTATACATGTTAGCTAAATTATTCGAATACAGAAGTCAGGAAATCTGTCCCAACAGAATGAAGCGAAGCGCCTAGATCGGAGGCCCTGCTTTTCATATTTATTGTAATTCAGCACCAGAATTTGTTCCATCAGGGATCCTGACCAAAATACATAGTCCAAGGCGTAACTTAGCCTCTCAGGACAACTGTGCCATAATCTTTATGACTAAAGACCAGAAAAATATCACAGTGAGAAGTCAAATGCTGGCCACAGAGACCTTTTCACTATACGAGCTTAGTCTGAGGAGAAAATGCTTTATTCCCAAGAGAAGCATATGACAAACTACAGAAGTTATTATAGAGGAAATAGTTTCGTGAAAAAATCGGTTGGATGACATTACTTTCGCATAAATGAATAAAATAGTGGTTATCTGCAGCAGCTTTAGCTTAATGTTCTGCAAAGACACAATAACTATGCTTTGTGTATCAGGGGAATGGGATAGAATGTTGTTGAACCTGTGTCATGTTTATAGGCGGCAATCTTAACTGTGTGCGTCTCTTTTTTTCTCACTGATGGTTTATGACTCCTCATTCTTGTTGGCTGTTAAGGTATGTTCGAATTGATTAAATCATCTTATAAATTAAAGGATCGTGTAACGGAAAAGCTTAAGACACTTGGTGCATTTATTGATGATGAACTACCTGATTACATCATGGTTATGGTTGCAAATCAGAAGAATGAAAGTAGTATGGCTAAGGACTTACAGCTGTTCTTAGGAGAACACACAAAAAAGTTCACCGAGTGGTAAGAAATGCTATGATTGTATCTATTCTCTAGGCTGCATAATATGCTAGAGAATATGAAGAGCTCTGGTCGTGGTAAGCAATGGCATTACCTTCAATTTATTTTTCTCAAGATTCGAGTGACAGTCGCAAAGAAAGTGAAACCACACGGTCATCACGACAAAAGTCTGGAAGACGTAAGACTGCAAGACCTCATTCTCCTGACTCCCAGGATGACTCACCTTCAAAGTCATTAAACCGCTCAAGATCGAGATCACCTTTAGAACGGGTTAAGCGTAGGAAATATTCGAGTAGTTCTCGTGAACCTCACGGAGATTCAGATGTTGTTAGTACAAAAGTTCCTGATGGTAAGGCATACTTTATTAATTAGATTAAGACTTAGACTTACGTAAATCTGAGGACAATAATGGGTATCACATCAAAGAGGTAAATGTTTTTCCTGTCATGCACTTATCATTTAGGAACGCAAAGTTATGTCGACATCCTCACTCTCCAGGAAACCAAATCATGAAAATGAGAAAGTCGCATCACACCTTCCTGATGAAATCAGCCTTAAATCGGTTGTTGAAGTGAAGAACTCAGACAGCCATAAAGTGAGTATCCAACTGACTTCACTCTCTTGGATTTCGTTTTGTGGTGCTTACAACCTCACATTTGGTCATAAGAGAATGTCTAGGGAGTTTTTTATTTTTACTAGTAGACAATTGGTTGTATTAGTATAACGAATTAGTGTGAAGTTGACATATTTGCTCATGTACTTTGTTGCAATCAATAAGTCAGAATCTGTTAAGACCTAGTAAGCTCATCTGGTTAACTGAAACTCGAAAGGTGTACTTGGAACAAAATATCTGTGACACTGTTGGATTTTCTCTTTCTTCGTGTATATGTAATATTAAATACCTACTGTATCACTAGATGTCTGAAAACATTTTTGCCCTCTTCCTTGATTCCTGTTTCATACCCTGAAACGCCGATATTTTCTGGGGGTAAATTAGTCATTTATGGTATTTTATAACCTCGCACATTTGCAGTAGACTACATATTATTTATCAGAGTGGTTAATCATATAGGGGGGTTCGGATATGTAACTCATTAGTCATATTTAGAGCATCTAGTTCAATTATCCTCTGTTATCATTTTGTCAGGTTCCATATTTTTCGTTGTTGTTAGTTATGAACTTAAAATGTAGTGTGTCCGCATGTATGTAGGCTGATGTACGCCAAATGCACAAAGCTAAGTAAAACAATGTAAGTAATTACCTCTGATTGCAACCAAATTAAGCCTAAGGTTAGAAAACAAGAGGCATCAAATAATAACCCCTCCCTACCTACTATGGTATGCGGAAGAGTTGAAGTAACACTGCATGAAAAACTTTTGGGTGACTTTATTGCACCTTTAGATAAGAGTAGAGGATATTCAAGTGAAAACCAAATGTAAATGCAAGTACATCACTGCAGTCGATTTCAGTTGTCTCGTGGACCATAACGACAAAAATAACAGTGTCACTAATTAAAAATGTTCTCACCTTAATTATAATGTGTTGATTCGTGCAATTCTGTGTATACAATGCTGAAAGTTTGTTCCACGGACACTAGCTTTCAACTTATCATTTTATTTTACTCCGTTCCTTTTGTTTGCATACGATCCTGCTGCTGTTCTCATTTTCCTTTCTTATTTTGTGAAATACGACAATTTTACTAATGTACTTTCGTATAAGTGAAGCTTTAATGGATGAAGTTGAGTGAAGGTGACTAACCTTTCAGAATCCGCGAGGTGATGTTAAGTGAGTACGTCTGCATCATTATTATCATAAATAGTTTCCAACCACTAGTTTTAGACATCTCGAGGACCCCATCCAGGCAACCTACACTTTATCACGTGTGTTAGACTAACAGTCAAAGATTTCAGTGGATTGGTGCTATGTTTTAGTATGGTCAACCTCTACCTACGCATCTTAAAAGATTAAATGGTGCTGACTGGGGTGTTTTACACTTTTAAATGTGAGTTTGTTCTTCTGTACAACTGAAAATTACGCTAAATGTAGGTGGTATGAAAAAGCTTCAAATAGTTGGTCGTTGTTTTCTTCGTTAAACTAGACACATTTGATGGGACAACAATGTAGACTTTTAGTGTAGAATCTTAGGTAAGGGTCACTTGGTAAAATTATATATTCTTGTCTCTTGTAGTGACTAGATAGATCGTTTGAAATTGATGGGCATCCACACCAGAGCGAAAACGTAAGGTCATATCTACTCTAAGAAAATTCCTATTCGCTAACATTATCTGACATTCTTCTCACAAAAGCGAAAAGGGCAACGCGGAAGTCCTCTATAGCTATTGCTTAACGCATAATTAGGTTGTGTTTATGCTCAGTGAAGCAATAAGTAATGTATTAAGATTAAACACTCAACCACATTATTACAGGTTCTACCTGATAAAACTTCGTCAGTCGAGAATGTTTCTTGACCCCATCGTATGTGTGTCTGAAAGCCTAATATGAATATCATTGCTGAGTTGTGTTATCTTACACGTCTGCTTTATTTGTCTCTTTAGTGTCATTTTATTTAGAATATATATATATATATATACAATCGCAAACTGTCGTACTAAATCTTTCTTTTCTATATCAGCAAACTAAAAAACGATTGGAATATCCCCAGCCTTCAAGCTTGTTGCTAAAACGAGCTGTGAATGAAGCTAAAGAAAGTACGCTGACAAGCGAATCTATCCCAACAAAACGCAAACCGATCTCTCGACCAGTGGCGTGGTTAGTTTTAAGTCTTATTATGTTTATCTTTCGAATATTTGTGTATTTTTTGTATATTTTTTAAATTTTATGTGCAACGCAATCACGTAGTCTAATAATTCAAATCGAACTAGATTTTTTTGTGTCAGAATTTTATGTCCACTGTAAGTACTTGGTAAAATGAAATTCAGCATTGTATATTGGGCAAATAATCTTAACAAACCTGTTATGGTCTTATCTCCGTGAAGGTAGTCATCACATTGTACCAGCCCTAAACACTGACAATTGGAGTTTGAGGAAGGAAACAATCAACTGCTTTATTAGGAGTGTGAAGGCGCAATGTAACATGACTGTAGATCACAAGTGTTACAGTGCCAAAATAATATAGGATTAGAAAAATAGTTGCGTAATATGTAGAATAGTTTTTCATGAAGACAGGTAGGTGTGAACGGGATGTATGTCGAGACATTGAAATAATAGTTTTTATAACTGAAGATGAAGTAGTATAAAGGGAATGAAAAATAAACAACTAGGGAACCCTACAGGATTAGATCTATGGTACATGTAGACGTTGGACTAGTTTTTTAGAACACATGGTTTTAGCTTCTCATTGCATATGACGACGGCTTCTGAAGTTCGAAGTCGAAAACACACTGTCTATGGTAGATTCCTGTTTACTTTGTAAATGACTCTGAATGGTGAGTCCATTGAGATGTTGTGACAGGTGCTGACTAGATATTCAGTTATAGCTCTTCTGATTGAACTAGTGCCGCCGCTTTGCAGTCATGATGAGTAGTGTTTTCTACTTTTTGAAAGGATGCTCATAGAACGACCTAACACTACAGGACCAAGTGAACAGGTATATGCACGCTGAATTGGTCATTTGTAGGATTTTGTCTTTCAAATTGCTTAAAAGTGGCGGGTGGTTAGTGAGTATCACTCTAGGTCTTTTTGGGGAAACTAGAGATTCTCTTCTTTAGGTCATTTTCCCTTAATTTTCTACTAAAGTCCATGTTCATGTATAGTATTCTAAGGCACTGAACTGAATTCTTTTCTTCTTGACTCTGATTTGGTGTCATCCATAAACCGTAAAGAGTATCCACTTCCGGTCAAGATCCTTTTGAGAAATAAGGGCTCTTCTTTTAAGCACTCAATACTACAGATTCCTTTAATACGGTGGGTAAGTGAGATGAGAACTCTTTTACGATTCATAGGTGTCCAACTGTAAAAGTTTGCTAGTTGGCCATTCCATAAGGGTTTTCTGTGGATAGAGCTTTTTAGAGTTTTATCATCTCTTCGTGTCAGTTTTACAGTCAGAAATAGAATCTTTGATTCACTTTTTGCTCCCAGTGTGAATTTAACTGAGGGATGACAATTATTAGATCTTTGTAAAGCACAATTTAAGTCATAATCGTTATGACCATTATAAAAGTGTTGTCAACATGCCTTTTATACAGCAGTAATTTGTCGATTGTTGATTTTAAGATTCCGTTTTCCAAAGCAGTCTGCTAAAAGTGGGCCAAGAGGAGAGTCCGCGACAATTTCATCTTTTCACCTGTAGATATCTTTGTTGAAGGTGAATTGAATATTGAGTGTACATATCAGTAACAACTGCTTTAGATATAAGGTTGATATCCGAATGCTCAGGCTCGTGTCATCCATATATTTGTAGGAGAAACATTGCTTCTGTGGGCAGCACGTTTGTAAATAGAAACTCTACGTCTAGTGATAACATACGGTCGCCAATTACATTCAAATTTTTTAATACAATTTATGAATTCGAAAGTATCTCGATGAGTGTACTTACAAAATTGTCTCCTAACAGGATCTGACATTTCGGAAAGTTGTTTAACACCTGTGTGGTAGGATGATCCCGAAATATCCAGAGTTGGTCATAGTTGTAGACAAGGTTTGTGCACTTTAAGTAGACTTTAAAATGTCAGCAAACGATTGATCCTGTCGGTCTTAAGCTTTCACAAAAACGTCTTCACTTGTCAGGCAGTCGTTCAATCAGTTAAGTTTTATTTTTCTCGTTATTTAACAAAGTTAGTTGTTGTCAGAAATCAGAGTTGATATTTCGTCGATATATGCTTGTGTAGCCTTAAGAATCATACCCGAACCTTTGTCCAGACATGTAATCACAATAGTCCTTATCGTGTCTTAGGTCTTTGAGATGCTGTTTGCGTTTATTTGTTTGAAGGTGGTGGTGAGACATCGGTCACAGCGGTCAAAGACTGTTGACTTGCAATGTGCGAATTGTGTGCCGGAAACTGAGATAACATTGTTTGTTTGACTGATTCGATTCTCGAATAGGGAATGTGTGATGTCCGTTGGGTATTTAAATTTATGTCACAAAATTTCAGTCCCAAAGACTTTGATAAAGTGATTGAAGAGTGATCAAATACAATTTTGTTGTAATCACTGAGAAACTTCCTCTGAACTTCGACTGGTTGAAGGCTTTTCTTCATGTTTGACTGGAAACTCTTGGCTCATTTATCCTTCGTGAGGGTAATATTTCCACTCAACAGTCGTCTCATGTGGTTATAACCAGCAAAAAACAGGAGAAATCTGTGGTACGTTTTCCTGTAGCTCAATTGCTTGTGAACTAATATAATCAATAAGGTTTCTAGCATGGAACTGAAGAGTTTTCGAGGTGGGATATATATATATATATATATATATATATATATGAGGCAGTAACTCATCGAAGAAGACATTGCGAAATGGTCGTGAATTGGCAGAATTTAGAATTCAAGGACCATTGGATCGGGTCCTAGTGGCTCAATGGTCTACGAGCTCGCCTTGTAACCAGAAGGTCCTGGGTTCGAACCCCGGTGGGTGCGTACTGTGAAGAGTCCCGAACTAGGACGAAACAGCTGTCCAGTACTCCCAGGTTTTTCAGTGGTTCTCTAACTGATGTCAGCTCATGATAAAATCCTCCATGCAATCAAACAAAATCCCTACAAAACCAATACTTGGAAACATATATATATATATTCTGCCTACGGAGTACTTTCCGAAACTATTTCGGATATTCATGATTCTTACTCCAGTCTCCCAGAAAATCCAAGCTTTAAAGTTTCAGTAGCGGTGGTGTTGTTTCAACATTATCCAAAAGGCAGTATCGATTTGGAAAGTGTACGGAACACATTTCAATTAAATCTGGTTAAATGTTTATTCAAACGCTACGCCAACTAAAGAAGGGTATTAATGATTTATTGATCATTGTTGTAAGCTTGGATTCATCTACTGGTTAAATTTTATCTGTTAATATCAAAATTATATGTTTATAATGTTTATTATTGTCCGTATTTATGAATATTTTTCGAAAATGTTAATTCATTTTTAAAATTTTATATATCTTACACATTACTGTGTTTCTTACTGTACATTAAGCTTTAACATCTTGGTGATATACATTTTTGTGTGTGTGTGTGCATAGTATGAAGTTACTGTTTGCACAGCGGGCGACGTTCAGTCTGAAACAGCTTCATAGATTATTCACGGAAAATACCCATCCACACATGAATATAAGAACAAAAAAGTTCAGCAAGGAGTCTCTTTTCGGCGAATTCATTCACTAAGCTGTACATTCGCATATATATATATATATATATATAATTATTTGTGTGTGTGTGTGTACATTAGGATTGTCAAACAAAATTAAAAATAAGTTAGGTTTATTGTTTGTGTCATCAAAGTATTTCAAAAATGTGATCAATAATCAAAATTGTAACTAGGGTGGGTGGGTGGAGGTTAAGATTGGTTAGTTTTGACAAGGGTTGTGTAATATGAAATAGGATGTTAATGAAAGAGCACGGAGAAAAGTGTCGCAAATACTTTATGTAGTAGGTAGAAAGAGTAAATAGAGGGTTGGCTGAGAAAAAGTACTTACTAAGAAGTCATAAAAATATTCGAAAAAGCATCACTTACAAAGTAGAGGGACTTGAAATTATACCCAAGTTAGAAGGAGGGAATGGAGAAGTTTCTCCTGTACGCATAAATCAGGTTATTTTTATCCGAATCGGTAAAGCCTAGGTATTGCAAAGTATACGAAAGCATACTATTTTCGGGAAGTTTCTTTTGACTTTGTAGATGACTGAATGAATTCTCCTTACATATTGAGTGACCAGTGTTGAATATATTTTCAATTATAGCACTCCTTATGATCCACTGTTACCTTTTCGTAGCCAAGTGGGATAATGCTCTTTGACTCTTTTAGATAAAACACGCATCGAATGACCCATATATCTCGCTCCACATGAGCAAGTAAATTGGTAGATACACATAGAAGTTGTTGAAGAACAATGGGCGGCTTGAGAATACCAATCGTAATGTAGCAGCAGAGAATGTTCTTTTCAGGGCGTTGAATGTTTTTTTTTTGAATTTTTGTATGACATCCTTAGTAACATCTTAACTAGTCCTTTACTTTCTCTTTCTACCTGTTGCATAATTTATTTCGGACACATGTCTCCATTAACATCTATCTCATATTACACAACCCTTGTCAAAACTAACCAATCTTCACCCCACCCCACCCACCCTAGTTACAATTTTGATTATTGATCACATTTTTGAAACATTTTGATGACACAAACAATAACCCTAATTAATTCTTATTTTTGTTTGACAATCCTAATATGCACACACAAATAATTATATATAAATGCGATTGTACAGTTTAGTGAATGAATTCGCCGAAAAGAGACTCTTCACTGAACTTTTTTGTTTTGATAGATTTTTATCGTGGAAATATGGTTCATTAGTTTAAGAGCTTGGTTCGCAACTAATGGGTCACAGGTTTAAGCATCTCCCCACCTCTATATCAGCTCGGGCAACTGGATAGTATCGTAGGCCAGGCAACAGATCGTTTATTAAGGAAAATCAACACATATTTATAGATTTTAATGTACATTATTGTAGATTATTGTTAGTAGAAAATACAGTCTTTTGATTGATTGTTTCTCATAGAAAGTTAACCTTGCATCTCTTTGTGGCTGTGTCAGATCATCCATATGCTAACTGTATCCGCCTACGCAAAGCCTTTGTTCTCATTTTCTCACCACCGATATTGGGGACATAAACATTGACGTCAATTACTGTCTACCAACTTTGGCTAACAGCCAGCTCTCACCACAGTATCATGCGCCTTCACAATAATAAGTATGGCTATGAGCTTAGTACATGAGCGAGTTCGAACAACAATCACAGATTCTTAGCATTCTTAAGTTTATTAAAATTTAAACTCAAGTTAATACATAGCATAATTGAGTAGTTGAATCCCAGCATTAATTCTAAGTTCTCTGGGAAAGAAGTCGACATGTTGAATGATGACTGGAGGAATGTGAACATTTTTTATTCACAGTCCCCTCAGTGAACGTTTAGACTCCTTTTTATCAATGTTCTACACTTCTAGTTAGTGTCTTTAGAGAAACAGCACAACGATCAAGTGTATCAACTATTTGGTTGGTTGACTGTGGTCATGTGTCTGTTAAAACTTTTTAAAAAGTGTCATAATTTTTCGTGACTATTGTATGACTTTACTTCCTATTGTGGCCATCACTTATTCTTCTTTTATTTTCTTTCTCCTCAAAAATAGTTCTGATGTATCCTCATCTTCACAGCCTGATTCTACAAGATTTTTCATCACTCTTTCGGGTACTGAATCTAATCCAGTAGAAACAACTACTTCCGCTAATCGACGTAACACTTCCAAGCTTGGTCGTTTACAGAGGGTTGAATATTCATCATCAGGTGACATTGATGCATTGGACAATAGAAAAATACGACTTAGTTCACGTCTAGTAAATTCTTCATCTATTCGTCGTGATGGTAGAATAAGCGTTAAACAACGTCTTGGTCCAGTTATTCAACCACCTAAGCGTACTCGAATAACCAGTATCTCTCGAAATGAAGAAAAAATTATTTATAATTCCGGCAATGATATCGATGATTACCTTGATGGGGATTATGTTGAACTTGCCTGTGATGATGTTGATGATAATGCATTTGTAGATGATATAGTCGATGAAAGCAATTTTATATCTCGTCATAAAATGACTCTAAGTGAGAGATTAAGTCAAAAAAACCCACCCTTGGTAGTTAATTTAAATGAAACAGACGAAGATGAAGATATTGCCAATCATCATGTCAGTGAGAAAGGACGACCTAAAAAGATTGTTTTAGAGAAATGTAAAGAAAAAACTCAGAATGCAACAGATTCAACTACAGAAGCTGGAGATCAACCAAACATCCCAAGGTTAGCACTTTTTACTGTCTTATTTTAATGCGATATATATGTATATACATATTATAGCTTGGTTCCACACAGTGTTTTGGTACAGCTATGGAATTTTCAGCATGTGATATCCGTAGCGCAAATTCAGCAGGCCGTGACCATTGATATCAGGTGTGCGTCGGTCGGGGATCGAACCCCAGACCATGTGCATGGTCAGCGAGCGTTCTAACCGCTGTGCCATTGACGCACAGAGTTCCTCTTCACAAGACTAATTAGTGAACAAAGAATATTCTTATTGACAAGACTTTATAAAGTTCTACAACTACCATAATACTGAATGAATAATCGTTGTTATTGACAGCATTAGTATGTTTCAATAGCACTGGGTCATTCAGATCAATGGATTACAGTTCAAAAAATGTGTGTATATATGTGAGATAATATTCATGAATATAACACTACATTGAACAACAGGTAAATTTGGAAAGACAACATAGCATTTATCAATTTTATGAATTTATAGATTCCACAGCAGGATAGGGTAACGATATTGACTGGATCTGTTTCTCTAGTAGACACAGGGTTCCGGTTGTGTTCCAACCGAATTACTTTGGCTTTTACATTTTGGAGTATTCGGTACTTCAGGGGAGCCTTTGGTAATTTATGCGGTACACAATAGATAATAAAAAAAAGATTCTTCAATACTGACTCTGTGGCCTGTTTGAACTTCGTGCACTAATATTTCATTATTAATGATTTTTGCCACATTTTTATTTACAAGTATTGGTTTTGTAGAGATTGTTTTGTTTGATTGGTTGGAGGATTTCATCATGAGCTGACATCAGTCCCAGTGGCTCAATGGTCTACGAGCTCGCCTTGTAACCAGAAGGTCCTGGGTTCGAACCCTGGTGGGTGCATACGGCTGAGGAGTCCCAAACTAGGACGAAACAGCTGTTCAGTACTCCCAGGTTTTCCAGTGGTTCTCTAACTGATGTCAGCTCATGAAGAATTCCTTCAACCAATCAAACATTTTTATTTAGTCACACTGGTAGATGTTTCTGAGCAAAGACCCATATAACTGGCTCCACAAGACCAGTTTAATTGATAGATACAGGAAGAGGTGGCTAGCCTAGGTATTTTGTTTTTCAGTTTTGAAATCATGGCCAGTTGTGTGGAAAATGTGACTTGTGATTTAGTGGCATTAAAAGTCATTGGTTATTACTTCACTTGATACGTCACCTTTAAATTGAAACCGCCCATAGTTTAAAATCAATTACCTGGAATAGATATTTCATGTAACGGAGTAAAAGCCACACTCAGAGTGTAGAGGCTGATGATACTACCCAATTGCTCAAACTGAAGTAGGTGGGGCTGAACTCGAACCCGTGACCTGTCGGCTGCAAACTGAGTGCTTAAGTCATGAGCTTCTTGTATACAGATATAGAACATTTCCAACCTTCGTGGCAATGTGTTTTCTTATGGACTTTTTTGGATGATCGTTTTCAATTAACGTGTCGTATTCAGTCTTAATTTTATCCTCAATCACATCTTTTTAACATATAGGCCAGGTCATGCGGCTCAGTGTCCTTAAAAAAATTTCTTTTTTTGGTCGGGAGAAATTTAGCTAAGGAAATGTGCTTATGTAAATTTCATTTTATATTACCATCTAGTCCTGTAAGGACATCTAAGAGGGCAATTTTCCTTTGGGATTCTTCTTCACATGTGTGAATTTGATGACTGAATGCAACTGTTATTGCCGTCTATCTATCTAAATCATTTTCACAAACGATGAATGAATCAGGTGTGTATATCAGTAATAAAGTGTGAATTTTCTGATGAAGGTTTTAATAAACCACTTTCTAATTTACTTAGAAATCTACTAGCATGGGACCTCTTGGGGAGCCCAATTACTACTCCATCCATGTGTTGTCTGTAGATTTTCCCGAGAAATTTAAAATTTTGCTTTCATGGTACACTTTAGTATCAATTGTCTAAAGAATTCTGTCGGAATCTCAATTTTTGTTGACTTGTTATAATAAATATGTAGCTAAGCGTTTCAACCCAGGGTAAATTTGTGAATGAAGAAGTTACGTTTGAAGATATCATAGTTTTATCTTTGATGTAAATATTTTTAATCCTGTCCATGAAGTCAAACACATATTTCACACTACGTTTCACTATCTGTTGATGTAAAAGTAGGTCTTAACGATGCTTCAGGTTTATGTATTCTAAGTAAACTGTATAGCCGTGGCGTGTTATCGTTATCAGTGCACACAGAGTGAAGAGAAAGTGAAGAGCCAACAAGTAGAGGAGTTGCATTGGTAGAAGTAAGGTAAGACAATAGAGATGAAGATGAAGACAAAGATGAGCGAGGATTAGAGAGGTTTCGCGTGCACTTCGGAATAATCTCGTTGACTTAGAATATGCGGACGATATAGTCCTTCTAGGCGAGGACTCTGACAAAATGCAGAGTCTACTGATGAACACCCTGAGCAACAATCTTCGTATGTTTGGCATGCGATTTGCCCCTGTAAAATGTAAGATGATGCTGCAGGATTGGACTTCATCGACCCCTAGATTAGAAATAGGAAGTGAAGTGGTAGAACACGTTGACCGCTTCAATTACTTGGGAAGTACCATCAGCCCCAACGGGTTGATCTCAGACGAAATTTCAGCGCGAATACAGAGGGCTAGGATCGCATTCGCCAGTTTTCGCCGTCTCTGGCGTAGACGCGATATCCGACTATCGACCAAAGGGCGTGTTTACTGCTCAACAGTCCGCTCCGTCCTCCTTTACGGATGTGAGACGTGGCCATTGAGAGCAGAAGACATGAAAAGATTAGCTGTCTTCGATCATAGGTGTCTGCGTTCTATCTCCCGCGTGAAGTGGTATAATCAGGTGAGCAATATTGAGGTTAGTCATCGGTCGAGTGCTAGGCAAGGCGGGGAAATCAATCGACGAGTCTGTGAAATTACTTCGACTGAGATGGTTAGGACATGTGCTACGTATGCCTAGTCATCGCCTTCCTCGACGGGCAATGTTAGCTGATTGATATAGGGTCAGGCTGGAAAAGAGCTAGAGGCGCTCAAACGAAAACATGGCACCAGTCAATGAAATCTACAACAGTTAGTCTAAGCCACGTAGGAAGATGTAGACTTCCTGGTTGGGGCCCTCGGGATGGTAAAAACCAATGGTTGGAAACAATTGGTGACATGGCTCAAAATCGTTCTCAGTGGCGCAGATGCATCCACTCCTTGTGACTTATGATTTCCAATTAAACTGTTTCGCTCTTCGTTACTACTATTCCTTTGTCTCACACCTCTGTTTACTGTCTATATTATGCATTTCTTCTACTTTCTTCTTTTGCTTTGTGTGCTACATAGATTGTGGCGACTTGAACTGCCGCACATATGTGCAAAGTTCTATGTCGAAAACCGACCGACCGTGGTGTGTATATGTGCCAGTGAGTTTGAGTTCCTCGTGTAAACTTGCAGGAAGTATTTGTTGTCCCTTTGGTTTCTTCAAACGTCTGGTTCTTTCATTCCCTATTTTATTGCTTAGATCCTTTCACTCTTCATGTTTATATAAAACTTATGTTTGTCTCAATATATATCATTTATCCTTTTTTAATCCAATCAGTCAATGGTCAGTTGATCCAACGACCACCTTCAGTTGGCAATGAGCCACACTTATTGTGTGAAGGCTCAGTAGTGATATTACCTGGCTGTCCAAACCTCGGTAGGTGAGGCGGAATTTGAGCCTGTGACGCAGTGGTTAGAAGTTGGGCGCCTAAACCAATGAACCACGTCACCACTATCCTTTTCAAAAATAATCACTTCTATCAAGAAGGATTTAGTCTGATCCTTTATCAGGTTTCTTAATTACTAGTCTTTTTTGTCATTTTCCACTTTATGTATTGCCTCTTTGCTTTGCTTTGATTTGTGAAATTTCGCCATACATGCATATACATCGTATAAGATGTTATAAAATTGATTAACTCCTGATTTAACTTATGAACAGAATTTCTGAAAGTATCGTTTGGTTCTCCTATGACCATACCTTTTGTAAGGTATAATGTGTCATATTGCAATGTTGACTGTCGTTTTCGAATCTGAAAAGGGATCTAATTGAGTTCATGTAGTCCAACTTCCAGCGAGTAAACATCACTTGGCGTCAACTTAAGCACATGGTTAGAAATTAGTTGTGTGAATAGTGACTGAAATTACTCCTGTCTACTTCATGTTTTTACCTGAATTTGGGTTCCGTTTGGCTTTTTAACTCGATATCATTTCTTTCAAAAAAAACTTCTGATTGAGTCCTTTGTTCTAGGTTGACGAATTCTAATCAGGGAGTTACATCGAGTTTCTTTTTGTTTGTGTGCATTATCAGCTCTCTTCCAGCAGTAATTTCTGTTTATCATCTGTCCTCTTTTTTCTATGGTCTCTTTTCTAGTCCTGTCTCACTAAAACACTAAAGCACCTGGAGATTGGAAGTACTTAAACGTTGTGCCTTTATAGAGACGAAATAAGTAAATACTAACATTCAAAATAAGCGTTATTAGTGATCATTTGAGAATCTAACTGATTCCTATCCGGAATTAATCGATGGACGCCAGCTGGCTAATTAGTTTAAGTAATTATTCTCAGTTTTACTTGTTAATTATTGTGTCATTTATTGGACGCTGTATAAGAATTGATTTTCAAATTTGATTTTTTGAGAAAATGGTTAATTAGCAAATGACGTTTATAGTCAATAAGCTTATGTGATATTTTCAAGTGTTGGTTTTGCAGGGATTTGATTGATTTGTTTTGATCACGAATTGACTTCAGTTAGGAGAACCACTGTTAACCAGGGAGTACTGGACATATGTTTCCTCCCTGTTTGGGACTCTTCAGTAATACGCACCCATCATCACACTACCAGGGATCAAACCCAGGACATTTGGGTTACAAGGTAAACTCGTGTACCATTCAGCCATTGGGACGGGATCTAGTGGCCCATCATTTCTAACTTCTGCTGA